CATGTAAATATAGACAGATTTATTAATTTCATTCATCTGGGTAGTCCTCTGAATTCACAAGATTTTAGATCTCAGGCTGAGGATGAATAGGATTAGATGAGAAAGAGCAAGTGAAGGTTGTTACTGCATAGTACTGCCATGCTGCTAGCAAAAAGTATGAATTCAAGGAACTATTCACATACCTGTTGTAAGTGGGGCTTTTACACAGAGTGCTCTGCAGTTACAATTTTGGGGATGTGACAGGTCAAAAAGGTCATTTAGTATAATTTTTAAATGCTGCTGCCCTGTTGCTCAGGTGCTTGAGCCATTTGCTGTCCACTTGGACTGAAGCAGCAACTCTGGAATCACTCAAATCGACTTGATCTTCAGGCTTTAGTTGCCTATCAATTACATTTTTTTATATATATTCCTATGCCTTCTAGAATACAACAAGCAGATTATTTTTAGCAGACTACTTCATTTATCCTGAAGTTTTATTTTCTTTTCATTTGGAATGCAGAATGAAGTTCCTGGTTCGTCGATGGCACCGAGTTACAGGTTCTGGTGTCCTGAGTATCAATAGGGATGTCTTGAGCCAGAACACAGGTAAATTAGTCCAGTAATGACTGAAAAAAAATTATTCAAAAGTCACACCACTGCTCAACAGGAACGGTTTTTAATTTGCATTTTCCTCATGTGGAATGAAAGGGGTGCTGTTTCCCCTTCCTTTTGCTATAATCACTTGAATTAACTTATTTTTCAGGTTTCTGATAGTTTCCATTCTCCACAAACACTGATCTATTTCCTTTCTCTTCAGTCCTGTTTTGCTCCATTGTGGATAGGTTTTTTTGAAAGTATGGCAACTTTCCTTATGGAGTCTGTTTATAAAAACAATTTTAGCTCCTTCATTGGGTTTCTTGTAAGTGATCTGCACCCACAGCTCTGAGAGGAGTTGCTGAGGACAGGGACTGACTGAGGAGTAGTAGCAACTACAGAACCCCACAGTGGTGACAGAGCCTATTGACCAGCCCTCCCTGTCCTTTTCCGCAGAACAAAAGCCTGTCATTCTTTTATTAGAGCTTAAAGTTTGGAAAATCTGAGTTTCGGTTTGCCTTTTGGCATGAGCCTAAGGAGAATCAGAATCTTCATTATTAACTCCTGGCTATCTAGATGTGCACTAAAACCCTGTCCTGCTCAGAGTTTTCTCATTAACATCAGTGAAGCCAGAATTTCACCTCTGGTTTTCTTATGAGGTGATCTGAAAGTGCTTTACAGTTACACACCACTTTTTTGATATGCAAACAGAAAACTCGCATTTGAGATTCTTAGTAAAGTGCAAAAGTTGTTAACTTTTTTTGTTTTCAAGACGTTCCTTTTTATGTTTCTAGGCAATGAGTTACGGCCTGATTCATTCCCTGGTGGTGTGGATCTTTATGGAGAACAAAGGCATTCCTATAGATCCAGGTCAGACATGGAATCTCCTAGATCTCCTGTAAACTTTCAACATAAGTACATTTATTTTAGATTATTATTTTATGTCAGAACGCTGTTTAGCTAAATTAATGCATCAGTGCTTACTGCTAAGGTTTGTAATCTTTGGTGCTGTGAGGTTTTTAACTTTTTTTTGTTATGGATTGATAAGAAGTTGCATCTCAGGCCTTCAGTGTGCATTTAATCATCCTCTGATCAAGGCCAAAGCTTGCAGACTTGTGCTGTCTGATTGGTGTTATGTTCTTGGAATCGGTAGATGACTTGATGGAGCTATTTAATCTAGGCTTTACGGCCAAGCAAACCTGTCCACCTTTCTGGTTGACAGCAGCTTGTGGCTCAGAGAGGGGCTTCCTCAGGTGCCCTCAGCCCAAAGCCAGGGAAAAGCAGGGCCACTCACTGTGGCTGGGAAAGGTCATCCAGTTACTGAGGGCTGGGGAGGAATTACCACAGCCTCTTGGCCAGAGCATGGTGGAAGCTGCTTGGTTGCCCAGCTGCTTGTTCTTGACTAAGCCTCTTTTGTTGGCTGTACTAAGCTGTGATACCACAGGTATCAGTGAATCATGTGCCAGTGAAACCAGGTATTTTTCTCCAAAGAGAAGTTTTAAGGATTGCCGTCAGCCTTTGATTACCTCATACAGTGTTGTGGGCTCTGAGCTTTACTGAATATCAGATGCTTGCTGGTTTGGATCTTTATTTTTATATAAACCACCTCAACATTTGTAATCTTACTTTGTGGCAACCATAAAAGTTTACATGGAAAAAGTGTTTAATCTCTTTTAGCCACTTTTGACTTACAGAAAGTAATGAAGACAGAATCCTGTAAAGATGGCTGTGTCCTTGTTCACACAAGCTTCTTAACAGAAAAGCAGACATAGAGCCTGTGACTGCTTCTGCTGCAGTCTCAGTAGGAATTTGCTGGTCAGTTGTTGTCCTAGAGAAATGTAGCAACAAATCATGAGCAGTAGAAAGAAAAGGCAACTGTGAAAAGTGGTTTCTTTGGGGGAGGCAGTGTGATGGCTTGGGCAATGAATGGGTATGACATGGTGGCTACCACAAGGGAAGTGAAGGGACATGCAGTCAGTAAGACATCCCTCTTTACAGTACGTTGCTGTGTCTGCTGGTACTTTTATTTCGAATTTTACTTTTTAAAAAACATCTGTGTTCTTCTGCCCCAGGTTTCACGGTATGCATGCCGAGTTAAACCCAGTCTCTTTCACCTGCTCGCAGCTGCAGAACTATGATCCTGAAAGAGCTTTAACCGATTACATCCACCGGCTGGAGGCGCTGCAGAGGCGCCTGGGCAGCGTGCAGTCAGGTGAGGCTCCACCTTAGGAAGCTGCTTCTCCGAGATACATAACAAACAACTTTGGTTTTAGGCATTTTCAGCCTTAAACAAGAGACTGTTCTGAGCTGTAGGAAAAAGCTCATTAAAAAGAAAATTATAAAATTGACAGGAGACATACAAGTGGGCTTGAATTATGGCTTTTGATTTCATTGATAACACGTTGTTCTGATCTCCAATAAATGTGCAGCAAGGATTCAGTTGGCATCTTTTTAAGCTGGATTGAGAAAAACGTACCCAAAAGATTGAGTGGGAGTACAAGGGGAAATTCTTCTCCTACCACTTTGGTTACAGAAGTTACAGCCTTTTTGTCCCATAGATGATTGTAGTTTTGTTGTAAAATGAATGTATTCAGAATATTGTCAGATCAATGGGGTGTAATTTTGCAGTTACTGTGTTAAAAGTCTTGCTTCAGCATAAAATCCATCATTTGAGGAAGTTTTGTTTTTAAAAGATTTTCCCTGTAAAATCCTTCAGGCTTGCTGATCTAAACAGCATGTCATTGGTGAATTCTCCTCTACTTCCAAGAAACTGATGAAAATCTTTCTCCCTCTTCCAGGTTCAACTTCATACACTCAGTTGCACGCTGGTATCAGAAGATAATAATGCCCTCTGAACATCTCCATCACTGGCAGTGATGTTATGGGTTGCCTTCTGTAAACCTGTGCTCTTTCTGTGCTTTTGTATCATGTGTATATTGTGGGACCAATACAAACACAGCTAGACGATTGTACACAATTCTACCTTGGCACACCCACGCAGACTGGGATTTATGTATATAGGCACTTTGTGTTCATGGGAGGAAAAAAAAACAAAGCCCAAACAACCCCCCCACACACCATTACATTACATGTATATTTGTGGAATGCTAATTTAATGATTAACTTATGAAGTGTGTATTTATCAAAAGGGTTTGAAGATGAAACTTACGTTATTACTGAAATTGAGCTACATTCAGCAAAGTTTACTTGCACTTTTTCTGGCAAGGCTACTGAAGTTACACAACTCTCATATTTGCTACTGGCAGTGCAGACAGAATATCACTTGTAGAGACCTATTTTTGTAATGGTAGAAGTTTTGAATTTTATGGGTATTTTGTCAAAGTACTGAAATAAAGATGACTTCATGCTTTTAACTGTGTTCAAGAACAACTCCCTTATTCACACTGAAAAACCTGCTTCTACCTGCGCTTCTCCTGCTCACAGGGGCTGCACTTTTACTTCTTATAGATTCCAAAATGTTGCCATTAATGAGAAGAGAGACAGGTACCATACTGGTTTTGAAGAGCCTGGTCACACCGGCTGGGGGTGGAAGGAAAGATACTGCACTCCCTCAGTTGCTGTTACTGATACAAGGTTTTATAACATTTACACCTAGGTTCAAAACAGGAAAGATGGTGCAAAGCCCTTGATCCAGTGAGAATTAAGGAAGGGTGGCGGGGGGAAGTCTTTGGATGACTGACTTTGTACAAGAAAGAAAAGAAAAGGGAAAAGATTACAGAAAGATTGATTTAGAAAAGCTTTTCGGAATTGCCAGGGTTGAACACAGAAAACTTCCACCAGCAGTTTGTTTATAAATTTAATTCAAAGTTCCTGGAAGGCAGAGCTCATTACCTTTTATCACCACCCCCCTTGAACGAAACACCATTTACCGATCCTGCAGTCAGTACGAAGGGGGACAACACTCAGATGTTTCACTTAATTTATGACCCTTGTATACACAAACATGTTATTTACAAAATTAATGTATCATCACATTGTTACTTTCACACTTATATCAAGCTTTCACAGAACACTACTTTCAAAAAATTTTAGAAAGTTATTTGTTGCTTTCTGCACCTAAGCATTTTGCAGCTGCTTCAAGTTAGACATTTGAACACTTCATTTTCAGAAACATACTCAGCTGTACAGTAACTTTTTAAAAAATAATCAGCCAAGACCATACCTAGTTCCCTTGGAATACCAAGGGCACCACCCTGTACATTCCTCCTCAGTGCCCATTCCCTGACAGATTTACTGTAACTGGATACAGAGGAAAGTATCCAGTCTCACCCCTTATTAATCCAGGGAAAAGTAATTTTCAATTGGTTTTCAAAAGCAAATTGTTCCATTTATAGAAATTACTTACTTCTTCATCTTAAAAAGCTGGAATGCACCTTAGAAGTGTTACACCAATAGAAAAGATGCTTTTTATTTTAAAAATGCAATGAGAAATTTGTACAACAAGCACTTTTACACAGCACCATTGGATGGTGTGGGCCAAACAAACAAAATAGATGCAAACTCTTTGCATCTGGTAGATTATTGTTGCTTTCCTAACAGTGGATGCAACAGCTTCCTTCTGCCACTCATTTTGTCACAGTTTTATTCAAAAGTCTGTTAGATTACACATATTAAGTAAGGTTTTTAGCTTCAGAATTTACAGTGACCTCCTCTTGTATCTGATAATGGGGTTATTAGGTGTGTGTATCATTGTTGTATAATTTATAGTTGGAAAATAGTCATTGATGAGATCAAATTCATACAAACGAAGCAAAGTTGACCAAATAGTCTTAATCTGAACATAAGCAAAGTTTTCTCCAATGCAGCGATGACGGCCTGCAAGGAAAGCCACAAAAAGCAGTCAGGTTACCTAGTGACTAAACCACCTTGGACAACAAGCTAACTTCACAAATTTCACACAGATAGGAATTGCTCCTTTCCTTTCTAAACAAGGCAAGGCTCTGATGCTGCACATACAACAATATTTAACTCCATTGAAGTCTTGTTTTCAGGAGCTGTAGCCACATAAAATAGAGTAATCTGCATGAGATGGTGCTGTTCTACCCTCTCCAGAAAGCATTCATTTTTGTATCACCAAAGAAGCATTTGCAACCCTGTGAAAAGCTCTCACCCTATTGTGGTGATATTTGCAAACTATTTTGGCAGTGTGACTTTCTAGGTAGATTTCTGCTCTGCCTTAAAATGACTTCCTATTACCAGGCTTTACCTTGACTTAGAAAGACTTGAGTCAAATAACAAACATGGAAACCTAAAGATCTGTTTTGACTGCTACTCTGAGTGATATATACAGCTATTACTAATGCAGAAGTATTGACTTCATTCTTTTAACATCACTTGCACCATAAGAAAACTGACTCAGGAATAGAAGGAAAAAAGTATCCTCAGACACTGCAGCATGGGGAGGTGCTGTACAAGCCACTCAAGTACAGAGTCACTCAGGAAGGCACTGCCTTTTCATACTCACCAGCACCAAATGGAACGTATGCAAATTTCTCTCCAGCTGCTGGGTTATCTTGGAGATATCGGTCAGGCTTGAAGTCTAGAGCATCTTTCCAAGAGTCCCTGAGTCTGTGGTTAACAGTGGGAGATACACAGACCTGGTGGCCAGGGGGAATACTGTATCCAGCAACAGTCTAAAGAGAAGAGACAAGACCTCAGACATCACAAAATGTGTCAGTTTTTGTTTTTTAAGTATTACCTGAAATGCTATATTTATCATGAGGCTTGAATTTCAAAAGAGATTGTGGCTAAGCTCATTTAAAATTAATGCAGCCTGATACTTTATTGTGCTACCTGTACAGGGCACAATGTTCAAGTAGTTGCAGGAACCTTTCAGATGCTTTAACGAGGCTGGCAATTCTACAGAAAGAGTTTATTTTAAAAATGAACTTAAAATTCATTGAAATAATTTATCATGGGAGGGACATGCTCTTAGAAGTCATTTTACTTATTTGACTTCATCTTCTTTGTACAAACAGCAAGTTTTCCTTCACAGTTCCCTAGCTTGTATTGTATTAAGTGCAAGTCAAAGTTTTCCAAGACAGCTATTGAAAATACCTGGCAAACAAAAAATGTCTTCAAATGGTAGCACCAAACCAAGAGCTCAAGTGAGACTGCTGGCTAAAAGAAATTAACCATTTTGCTGTGTAAGGCTGCAGGGGTGGGGGCTGTTACTAGGTTCCCTCAGAGCCTTCCCTTCCAACACCCAGCTGTTGTGGTCGTCCTCTGTTTGCTTCACTTCATCAACATCTTGATTGCTCGGGGCCAGAGGGGTCCAAAACTGGACACAAACACCAAGTTCAAGGTATTTGCTTTCCTCAGTCAACACCAGCTACAACCCCACGATATCACCCAGGCTGCCATCAGCTTTCATCCCCGCCAGCAAACTGCTCACTCACATTTTCCTTCTGCCAGCCAGAACACCCCACCTAGCCTTTTCCATGGAAGTGAAGTTAGCTCCAACAAGTGTACCTACCTGGGGAGTTCTTGCCATTCTCATCATGGTCATTATAGGAGGTCTAAGCCTTAAAGTTTCTTTTAGACAGCGATCCAGCAAACTGAGATCCTTGAGCTGAAAGTATAGAGAAAATGCTGTAGCAAAATATAGCCAACTTTATTCAACACAAACAAAATGCTATTTATTCAACTTAAATTTTTAAGAAAATCAGAGAAAGCAGCTCATGTTTACATGTACTTCATTAGCTACCTTGATAATTTCTTCTTTTTTACCATTTTATTTAAGGAAATAAACTGTAGTGAAATCAAATACAACTAGTTTCTTACTAATCTGTCTCATAAGTGTTTTCTGATGCCTAGTTAAAGACCATTCTCATATTTCCACTAAAGAAAAGGATGCAGTGGTTACATATCTTCCTCTTCTACAGAACTATGGTTTCTTAACTAGACATTGTAGGGACTGTAATTTCCTTAAAACTTATTAAAAATAGAGTAGCAAGCTGAAAATATACTTGGGAAGGAGGAGATGGAGGAGATATATCGGCAATCAGTGTTACCACTGAGTGACTGTGCCAGGTTATGATTCTAACACAAAGCACATGACTGTATTTCACAGTTGTTGGTTGGGTTTGTTTGTTTGTTTTTTCTTTTCTTTTTGTACAATAAGCATCTAGAAGTATAAAAATACCCAGC